TTTTCTGTTTCAATGTAAGGGGAATTGGAGTCCTGACTTCTTTACCAATATTCATCATTTTTCCCCTTACCCGTTTCTAGGGCACCCACTTCTGACGCTGGTCAGTCAGCAAAATATCTATGCCTTTGAAGGGATGGATGTTTTTCTTTGAAGCTTAGGTGAAGGCCTACCCCTATCCATGGGTTTCTCTGAGTCATGTCTTGGAGTCACACGAAAGAGTAATACAGGAGACATCAAACGTCAGTTCTCAAAAACTTATGAAGATTCCAAGCATCACTAAGGCCAGCAGTGGTGACTATGTCCTATACGCTGAGAATACTGTGGGAAATGATACTCTCACTGTGAGGTTTTATGCGGAGGGTAAGTTCGTTCTACTCACTTGTACTCACTAATGCTGGATTCCTGGGTATAAATTTTCACATAAGCAAAGAAATGCCACTTAAATTCATGGAAAAGCCAGCTCTGATTACTAGATGCCACCAGAAGACCTTAATTTTCTTTAAAAAAAACAACAATTTGTGGAACACTGCACCAATAGTTTTTGGGGGTGTGGCTCACTTAACATTACGGCTCATACACAAGTTTTTACGGTCCTTTATTTATTTGCATTGGAGCCCTCTTCTTTTCAGTTAAGAAAATTATTTACCTATTGTTTAAGGATTGGTACGAATTGAAAACCATGGCTGAGGTATCTATTGTGTTTTTTCCTGCATTTAGGCATGCCAGGCCGTTCATCTTCACCACCACCAGGTAAACACTGCAATCCGTACTTTCTCTCCCTGTTATTTCCTCCTCCTCTTTCTTTCCTCTTCCTTGTGCATCGTTATTAAGGTAACTTCTTACTCTCATCTATTTTTTTTTTTTTTTATAATGATAAAATCTTATGTTTTATCTCCCATTAAGGTGACATCCCAACCTCAGAGGCTCCTAAACCTTCAGACTCTACTCCCTCAATTATTCATACCGTTGTTTTTTTTTTTTTTTGGTTTGTTTGTTTGTTTTTTCCCCGAGGAAAACAATATAAACCAATATGCATGTAAACGAATTTCCTATATAGCTGAATGACTGACCTCATTTATCTCTTCTGCTCCACCTGTTGCTTTTGTTGTTATTGTTAACCGTCGTATCGATTTTTCCAAATGATGAATGTGTTACTTTTAACCCATTGCAAAGATTTGTGATCTAAGCTTGGTTTTCAGAGTTTGATATATCTCACGTTTTATCCGAGTTATGCATTAGGGGAAGACGCTTGAATGCAACAGATTTCTAAACTTAAAAACGCTTTCCTGATTGAAGCTTTAAAGAGATTGTAGAATATGAGGTTTAAGCTCATGCATGGTGCCCCCCAGGGGCTCTGTTATCAGGTTGAATGAGTATAATAAACTTACAGAGAATAATGACCTATTTATTCATAGATGAATGCAGCAACGATGTGAATTTTACGACGGCATTCAGGAATCCAAGTGTCCGTGCGTTGGTAATTATTCTGGCGTTGATAATTATTCTGGCGGTGATAGGCATTGTCATACTGTTGAGATTAGTTTTGTTAAAAACTTGTAATTGTCACTTAAATCAAGGGAAGCAGTATAACTTGGAAGTTAATGATAAAGAATGCAACACTACAGCTAAGAGTAGCAACGAGAGCATTGCCAAGGAGCAAACGGACAGCGCTGAAAATGTGTACCAGCTATTTGTTGCAGTAGTAGCATTCGACCGTAATAGTGGGGCAATTGCTCTTGGTGGAAAATATAGATAATGCTTATTCACGTACTCTTTTAAAGCAGTGAAATCTAGAGTGCATATGGCCTTAAACCTTAGTGTCGTTATTAGTTATATTTACTACTCTAAAACGGTACTTGGCATGGATTGCGTTTCCATTAATTTATTTTATTATATGTATTTTATTTATTACTTATTTTTTTATCTTGTAAATTACTGAATTAGTGATACATTTCTTTTCAAGTGAGAAAAAAGAGTTTATGACGTCAGTAAGTTACAAGCTGTAAAACTGAAAGATTTCTTTTGCAAAAATTATTTGATTTTTTTATTTTTATTTTCTGTGGATGTCATGTCTCTGTCCTATACTTTTTTTTAATACATTCTTTGAATTTAAAGTGTATTTTACATTCTAAAGCCGCATTTTCCGCTGTATGTTTGAATACTTATGAGAGGTTTTCGCCACAACAGCTTCTTAAAAGCAGGTCAATTTTTTCAAAAATAACCGAAGGTAATTAAGGCTATTTGAGCGGAATTAAATAATTATTAGCGTGAATTTCATGAAACCGTCTCCGTGGGGAAATGGCTTTGACGACTAACGGTTAAAATTCGGGCCGTTTTGTGGACATCGTTTACTTTACTTCATTTGTGATTTCAAGAAAAAGTTTTATGGTTAACTCTTTTTTTTTGTGTGTAAGAAGTTGGAAATAAAATTTGCTTATCTTGCATTTGTTTTGTTTCTTTAACTTTCTGTTTGCTTCCTTGGGAGTTTGGATTTCGAGTTGTACTGCCAATGACAAGTTATTGTAAGCGAGCTGGTGGACTAGCCAATCCGAGACGTCCAAAAAAAATTTCAAATCTCCAAAGATGATGATAATAATAACAATAATAATAACTATTGTGATAATTATTATGATAGGAGCGATGATTAGAATTATTATACACTCAGCTCAATATCTCTTTTCTGATTGGCCGAAAGCGTAAAGTGAATTTTTGCAAAAACTATTATGCAAGTATCAACAGTGGCATGTATCTTAAAACAGAATTTAGCGTATTGGTCAAGGGTCCCTGAGAGGAAAAAAAACTTTCCATGACTGACTGAGATCTTTAATTTTTTATTTGATCATTAGTCAGACCTCAGGACTAAAACCAGATTCATACAGAACATGTTTAGTTAAACAGGGTGAATGAAATCCTAAACAAAGAACTTAAAAAATATCTTTTTCCATAGAATCCAAGTAGTCTTTAGCTTGTATTTTCAATGTGCTAAATCTGAAGTCGACAAACATGGATTTAAGCAGCTCATGAAGAAAGCAAATTTAAACTGAGTTGCTTTGGTGTGAATGGGGTATAAGGCATATCATAACAAAGTTCGGATATAACGCGCGCTTTCTTTAATCGAAAGAGCGTGCTCTATCAGAGTACAACTACACGGAGCTGAACTGAAGCTGTCACGCCATCTGCCAATTTGTACTATGTCCAACCAATTCCCGAACTTCTCTCTTGCTTTTCCTAAATTGGAGGTGGAATTTTGGAACAAGCGAGTCGGCAATTACCAACAGAAGAACCAAATAAGGGTTTGTAAACATGCCAAGAGCCGTATTTGACGTTATCACATCGTGAAATCATTATTTTCAACCCAAAATTGTCAAGTTTCCGCCCTCTTTCCAGCATTCATTGCCGTGAGGAAGATTGTCCCTCTTTTTACAATCGATTTTGTGCCTTGCAGATGGGCAGGAAGGTCGCCTGGCTTGCGCATTTCGTCCATAATGGCGTCCAAATAATATAAGAAACTATGGAAATTTGTAAAAATTTCTAAAATATAACAATCAGGAGCTAATGGTCCCGTCTGCTCTCGATCGAGACATATTCAGTACTGATTCTGCTATTCATCAAACCTCACAGGGACTCGATAAATAAAAACCTCTTACTTCCCGAGCCAGTTCTTTTGTCATTGATCATTGACCTAAGTAGCCATGCAGTTCTTCAAAATCCATCGTTCTCCATCCCAAACACTCGCCTATTACAGGAAAGTGCATCAATAAAGTCAACTGCTCTCGATCGAATTGACTGCTACAGAGTTCGAAGCGTCCAAATAACCTGTAAAATTGCCATTTCCTCCCATCAAAAAACTTCCCAAGGCGCCAGAATATCCCTTATTTTCCATGTTGAGTAAGTGACGAGACGCCATGTTGAAAACTATGACTGAAATAGTTAAACAAGAGCAACGCTGGTCTTCGAATCGTCGGCCATATTTGTTATGTTCTTGCAGGGAAATAAATTAGCTCTCAGGTCCTTTTCGGAATAAAAATATGCCAGGCATTGAATGCAAATTCAGTAGTCTTAGCGCGAAAATTAAATTAAAGCAAATCAAAATTCTGACATCATGTCATCGCTCTGCCTCAAAAAATCCCAAAGATTTACTTGCAGGTCTTCTTTTTTTTTTTCTTTTCATCAAATAGAAGATCTGCGGTGCTCAAATTGTATAAGTCATGGTACGAAACACTCTTCTTTGCAGATCGAGCCGTGATCGCCGCCATATTGAATTCTCTTGATATTCTATTGTTCCGGAGTGTAATACGATATACCGCTGATAATTGTTAGCGGGTTCGAAATGTCCTTGATTTCTGGCGATAAGGGCGTTCTTGCCATTCCTGGTGCTCACGGGGTAGTATATAATTTGTGTACGACGCACTAATATACACTCGAATTGAACTGAAAAATGCTTTATATACAAGTTGAGATGTTCCAGCTCAAACTCAAATTTTTGACGGAATGGTTCGACCTATATTAGTTGCATGCATGCATTTCTATCGTTTCTACCGTGATAAAGAGATTGATGCGTTTGCGAATGAAAACACCGTTTTAAAATTTCGCCAGCCTCATGTTATCGGGCCAAAGTCTCGTGCAAACATAACCCCGGTTAACCAATCAAACAAATAGATGAAATTCATTAAGCATATGCATGACGATTTCCTGTTAATTAATCTTTGCCCCAATAGAAAACATACAAAGACCTAATCAGCTTCTTGTATGAAACACGTGTTTTTATCACCACAATAAAATGAATAAATAAATAGATAAAAAGAAAAATTCATAGATAGTTTAAAACTTGTGAGATTCGTTCCTCAGAAAAACACCTTCCTACCTCTTATCCCGTAAAATGGTCGCTTAACTTAAGTTAAAAGAGGATGTTGTATGACTTTTCTGTTGTTGACGTCATTGCTAACCTTAGTTCATTATTGGACCTGACCAAGTAATTAGTTCACCATTTCAAAGTCAACTGTTCGCCGAATCGACATTAATTCAATTTGTAGCGGAGTTTCAACCAGATATGCACATTTCTTTGGGAAAAATTCTTCCATATTTCTTCTTTTCATCGAGCTTAATACTGAGATCCAAAGGTATGTTTATTAGAGCACTTAAATTTGATTCATGAAACCCCAGAATCTACACGCTGTCCGGCAAATGTTTGAGTTACTTGTAACTATGGCGGCATTAATACTACAAGGATATGGTTTCTCTGCTGATGTGGAATCTTTCTCGCCTTCGGAATGAATCGAAATTTAAAGCTCGTTACTTTTGATTCGCGGGTGATTTTGTTTAGTATTGGGCACAATTTCATGCCTCGTGATGTTATGTCAGTCTTTGGTTGTAAACGAGTCAAAGCAACAAGTTCTTTGGCGGCCTTTTCGATACTTTAATCAGTGCAGAGAGAATTGTCAGACATATATTCATCACTTGTTCCAGCTAAGCCTGGGTTAGCATTGTTTTCGCCAGTTTAAATTTACGGTTTAACTCGCGTTTTGACACCTTCAATTTCTTAAAGTACATTCCTTATTTAAATCTAACGCTTAAAATCGGTCAGCGTGTAATTATAAGCCAATTTTTAAGAGCTAATGTCAACATGCATTAGACAAACAGCGGCAAGTCGCCCGAATTCGTTTTCTCTCCTACTTTCATATTTTGTAGCCCAATATGTCCTAATTATTGTGGCGTGGTTTTTTTGTGAAAATATGTTTAAGTTTTTGAGAAATAACCGCTCAAATATGCAAATTTTCACCCTGAATATTGCTCGAGTTGTGTGACCTCATGTAACGAATTTACTTGACCTCCGGTATTTGTGTCGGCATAATCCTTTGTTTTATCATCTAAACTTAATCCCCTGTCATTATTGAAGCTGCAAAGAAATATTTATTTTTTGGTGAGTATTTTTGTCCGACATACTTTTTCTATGTCGAAATGTAGCATCAAAACAAAGACAGTTTTAACAATGACCGATATGACAGAATCTACTGAGCTTCTAGCTTTTAAAAGGCAAAAGGATGGTTATAAAGTTACTGTAAAAATTTTCTTTGTGTATTTGTGTTGTTCTATCGTGAGACGAACTCAAAGTCCGGCAAAATTTACTTGCTAGCGACTATGAAATATACATGGAGTGCCTACTTGTCGCCACCGTTCACTGGATAAATCACTACAGTTTGTAAAGAAATCTAACATGACACTCTTACCTTGTTTATTTAGGATTTTATTAGCTGTTTCGATGATCAAGTTATGCTTGTCGCCACCGTTTATTGGCATATCGAGGCATAAATCATTATAATTTGTAAAAAAATTCGAACATTATACTCTTACCTTGTTTATTTATGATTTTATTAGACCAATAAGCTGTTTCGGTTATTATATTACGCTTGGGTATTTCCTTTTTGCCGGGAGCCCAGTGTTCTGGCAGGAAAGCAGAGCGTGATGCTCTGGGAATAAAGAAGCATAGAAAAAGGACGTAAATACTTGTTTTTTTTCAAGCTAAATTATCTTGCATGTAAACGCGGTATGAAATTCATTTCGCTCCGGAACGAAACCCATTTTGAAATAAAGTAAAAAGTACCTTAGGGACGGACCATTAGATTTTTGCTGCAGGAAGGGGGGGGGGGGGTAGGAGGGGGGTCTTTTGCCAATTGCACCATGTGTTTTCTTCCATTAAGCCTGTGCTCGATTTTTTCGGGGGTTATTGCCCAACACCCCAACACCCCCCGCCCCGCATCAAAATTCTAATGGTCCGTCGCTAATATGCTATCTGGTCCTACAACTTTTTATGTGATGAAAGAATCTGGATATACATGTATTACGCGCGTTGTTTGTTTGTTTGTTTTTTTTTAATTACCGAGCGAATTTCAATTGATAATTTCAAGAAGTAAGGAGCAACAACAAAAGGATTCCAAACAAAGCGAGGTGCCATTTTCAGTCATACCTGGTCGGACATCTTGAAAACAAAGGATGACACGCAAGCAGTTTACTTCAAATTTGACATAAAAATAATTCTGATGCCTCTTTGAAAAGAAAAAAAGGTTTGAACAGTAGACATCGCAAGGTCTTTGGCTATGTTACAAAAGAATACTTAATGCAGTATAAGTGCACACATCGAGTGGTGGATGCACTTGAATAGTCTGTTTAATAAATGCAGACGTACAGTTATTTTACAGTTATTTCAAGACGAACAAATCAAAAACAAGTACAGCCGTCCTGCCTAGAAGCAGGACAGATTTTGTCAGCATAAAAATCTGACAGATTAGCGCCTAAAAGTTTTTATAAGTTACTAACCAGTTTACGTGAATTTTACAAGGTGAGACTGACAGCTCGTAATTGGCAAATCACATCTTTTGTTTTAACAGGGTTGATGGGGGAGGAGGGGGAGGCGATCGGAAATGGGTGAGGATGCTTTTCGTACCTTTCAGGGGTCAAAATCAGTGATTTGGTACCTTTTATGGTGTCTCGAACTTTAGTGGACTACCAGAGACCCAGCTGGTACCTTTTAGGGTGTTTTTCGCTCAATAAAATACCTGAAATAGGCACTACTGGGACGATTTTAAAGATCTGACTAGAGCCTCTGGAGCACATCGATAAAGTAGTTCTTATTTTTGGGATTTTTCAATTTTTTTGTGTTTAAATTGGTACTTTTTAGGGGTAGATATCAGTTGTTGCCACTCCCATTCGGATAAGACTCGGGTACCTTTTATAATTTTATAGGAGTCATTTTCGAAATTCCCGGCGCGCATCCTCGCCCTCTTATGTGTAGGGGTTCCCCGAGGGGTGCTGATACGTGCAGCACACTTGAAATTTAGCAAGGACAGATTTTGATGTGATTTTCGGTGAAGAGAAAAAAGTCTTGTCAGCGTCTTGTAGCTGCTGCGGAAGGGCCCTTTACCACTGTGTGCTTAATTACGCGTCCCGCCAGACGGCGGGAAGCCTACAAAGTGCTCAGACATTAGAATAGAAAACTCCGCCTCTGTCTGGATTTTTGGTAGCCTATTAACCAATTCCCAGTTGAGCCCTATTTCTGACGGGACGCGTAATTTTGCACAAGGTGGTAAGTGGCCAGGTTATATGAATTTTCCAGACGTCTTACTTACTATCTGTGGTACACGCGTGCCAATTCCCCAATAGGCATTTGGAATCGACTGAACCCTACCTTTACCATGGCCGCACACATTTTTAAGCACTCTACATCTACTAATGGCACCGCGAATCCATTCAACACTGGTATCGAGATTTGATCTATGGGTAGGGCAAATTGTGAAATCATCGATATCTTTTGGCGTCTCGCAGCTGCCGGCTCGCGACAAAATAAGATCAACTTCAATTTCTAGATTTCCGCAAGTAACTTGAAATGTACTTTTTACAACTATGCAAGGGAACGACCAGAGATATGAAACGTCGGTCTTCTCGATAATTATACCCAAAACTCCCACCAGCGAACGATTTAAATGATCAGCAAATCTCTTTGTTAGCATGTAAGATGAGACGCTAATACAGCAGATCAATTAGCTAAATCACTATGTAGCTTGTCAATCGAATTGACTTTTGTAAGCATTCTTTGACTTCCGCCGGCAAAGGAATCATTGATGGATCTGGACATTTTAGTTTTCTGAATACAGTAATTCTTGGAAGGTTTTTATAGATATGAAAAGAGGGAAAAAAACCCATCTCTTGGTAATTCAGAGGTTGATTCATCTTTGAATTTATATGTGTCACGCTGGTCATGCAACTAATATAATAATGTGGAGAAGATTTACAAACTGCAAATTAAATCGTGCTAGAAAGTGGTAGAGCATAACTTGATCATCGAAACAGCTAATAAAATCCTAAATAAACAAGGTGAGAGTGTCATGTTAGATTTCTTCATAAACTGTTGTGATTTATGCCAGTAAACGGTGGCGACAAGTAGGCACACCATGTATATTTCATAGTCGCTAGCAAGTAAATTTTGCCGGACTTTGAGTTCGTCTCACGATAGAACAACACAAATACACAAGGAAATTTTTACATTAACTTTATAAACATCCTTTTGTCTTTTAAAAGCTAGAAGCTCAGTAGATTCTGTCATATCAGTCATTGTTAAAACTCTCTCTGTTTTTGATGCTACTTTTCGACATAGAAATCTTGGCGTAACAGGTATCAGTCATGAAAAGAAACGCAGAGAAACTTCGCTGCTTTTGGTTTATTAATGTCTGTTATTGTTCTTCGTGTTGTTGGTCACTCTTTTTGTTTTATTTCTCTTATCGGACAAAAATATTCACCAAAAAATAAATATTTCTTTGCAGCTTCAATAATGACAGGGGATTAAATTTAGATGATAAAACAAAGGATCATTCCGACACAAATACCGGAGGTCAAGTAAATTCGTTACCTGAGGTCACACAACTCGGGTAATATTCAGGGTGAAAATTTGCATATTTGAGCGGTCGAACAAAAAATATCATTTCTCGAAAACTAAAATTTATTTTCACAAAAAACCACACCACAATTATTAGGGCATATTGGGCTACAAAATATGAAAGTAGGAGAGAAAACGAATTCGGGCGACTTGCCACAATATTTCAAATTTGTTCGATGGATGCTGACATCCTCTCTTAAAAAGAAGCTCACTGAACACTTCAGATACAAAATTGGTTGAAAATGGAGATACTTATAATATTAATGAGACTGATATTAACAGTTCTTATATTAACTCTTTAACTCCAAGGTTAAAATTTTTAATTCTCTTAGCTGTCAACTGTACAATTCTTATGATGTTCGTTCAGAGAATTTAGTATTGGATCAACTAATTATCCCCAAATTGTTATTTTTCTTTATTCCCATCACTTATCTGGTTGATATTGAACTGATATTGTGAGGAGAAATTCTGTCTTAGTCACTCATCGGAGTTTTAGGATTAAAATAAAAAGTGAAAAAAATTATATTACCCTCTATTTGATAGGTGCTGAGCTTCAGGTTACAGTGAAACTTCACGAGAAGTTCTTGCTGGCGTGCACTGCATCCAGCGATCCAGAAAATGTTAAACATATCGGTTGGTACCGCTGCTCTAGCAGTGATTGCGAACACGACTGGGACAAGTTCCTGATAGCGCATGTTCAAAATGTGACAGAGACAATTGCCGATAACCCAAATTTTGAGGTTTACACCAACGGCACCTTAGTTATTAAGAAGGTACTACCTGTCGATGATGGAAAAATGTTTATCTGCATTGCCGAGGAGAGGCACATAGGGAGAAAAAGGTCTACGACGATCCTCCATATAGGCAAAGGTGATTTTTATATAAGTGTTAGATAATGATGATAATAGTAATAATAATGATAATAGCATTTTTAAAATAACAATGGGAATTAACAGTGGACAATCCTAGTGGTGGCTTTTATTGTCTACGGTTTCCAGTACTAAATGACATTTGGAATGTTGATGACTTGAGGGTAACGATAATTGGAGAATCCTGAGAAAAAATACGGAGCAAGGACGAGAAACAACAGAAACCCACTCGTGACGTCAGAGGTCCATTTATTGAGGGTCCCGGTAGATTGACGTGCCCGTAAAATGTGCTATTTGAGACAAGTTTACAATAAGACTGTCAGCTATAGAAACAAATTGGAATGGTGAGTGTACCAGAACCTGCTTCTCTGTTCTTTAAATTTTGATTTTAAAATATGGCTTTTGGCTGGTAAAGTTTCCGCCACTTCGCCATCCCAACTCATCGCTTTCGTTTATTTAATCTTATCACTTCGGATGCTGTTTCTCTGCATCTTTGCTTTTCTTTTCTGTCGCTGAAGGAATCCTTATAGTAGTTAGATAATTTTGATTTTTTTTTTGAACCCCCACAATGAATACCAGAGAGTCCTCGGGAGCCTCGTGTGATGAAAGGAATGGATCTTCATTTGGCTACTCGAGTTCAGGGGTATCCTTACCTCTGGTTAGCTTGGAGCCAATATGAGGTTCTCCTTCACAATACACAGACTGAAAATCACCCTCGGAGATCCAGGGCTGTGAGTCGATTTCAAGCCAAGGGCTCTTCCGCCTTGACTTGATATCGACTCACAGCCCCTGGGTCTCTGAGGATGACTGAAAACATACGAGTGATGAAAAAATTGGACGACCATGAGAAAGATTTAAGAAAAAAAATAGCCAACGGTTCTACGTCTTCAATAAAAACAACAGTTAACTCCGAAGTACACGACAACAGCACATGCACATGACGTGTACTGTCCAAAGTCCAGTTCCTAGTGCTGCTAAAATCGGGCTGATGAGAAACAATCGCGTTGGAGAATTTTCTCATAATTCTAATTGCAATGATAACAATAATGATAACAATAAAGGTAAAGATAGTAATGATAATAATTATTATAATGATAATTTAATAATACTGATAATGACAATGATATCTAAATCTAACACAAAATCGGTCAGCGTGTGATTATATGCAAGTTTTTGAAAAGAAGCTCACCGAACACTCCTGATTAAAAAATTGGAGAAAAAGGGAGGCACTGGTAATGAAAGTAAGAATGATACCAACAGTTATGATATTAAAAAAAAAGATTGAAAAAAACTATATCACCCTTTATTTGATAGTTGCTGAGGTTACAGTAAAAATTCACGAAAGACTCTTGCTGTCGTGCTCTGCATCAAGTGGTCCAGAGAATGTTAAAAAGATCGATTGGCACCGCTGCTCCACCTATGATTGCAAAAATGAGTTGCTAAAGACCCAGATAGCGCGTGTTCAAAACATGAGAGTGACAATTCCCTGCCCAAACTTTGAGGTTTACACCAACGGCACCTTAGTTATCAAGAAAGTACTGCCTGCGGATGATGGAAAATGGTTTATCTGTATTGCCCAGAAGACGTTTATAGGGAACGATAATTCTACGACGATCCTCCATATAGCCAAAGGTGATATTTATATAAGTGATAATAGTAATAATACAATGGGAATTTATATTTTTAGCAGTGGACAATCCACGAGGTGGTTTTTGTTGTCCACAGTGTGAAGGAAGAAATGACATTTGGAATGTTGTTTTTCTGGGGGGTAAGAATTATTGGAGAAACCCACTCGTGACGTCAGGGGTCCATTTATTGAGGGTCCCGGTAGCTTAACGTGCCCTCAAAATGTTCTGTTTAAAACAAGTTTACAATAAGACTGTCAGCTAAAAAAACAAATTGGACTGGTAAATGAACCAGCACTTGCTTCTCCGTTCTTTAAATTTTGATCTTAAAATATGGCTCTTGGCCCTTAAAGTTTCCCTACTCCTCGCCTTCGTTTATTTAATATTATCACTTCGGACTCTGTTTCTTTGCATCTTTGCTTTTCTTCTCTGTCGCTTAAGAATGCAAACCTTCCTATTGTAATTGGATAATTTTGATTTTTTTAGAACCCCCACAATTGATACAAGAGAGTCCTCCACAGCCTCAGGTCCTTGAAGGAAACGATCTTCATTTGGATGTTCGAGTGCAAGGGTATCCTTACCCCTGGATAACTTGGAGCCATGGTGACCATCTCCTACAGAATAAATCGGTTAAAGATTAACGCCAAGAATCCATTGGGACACGATATCTTGACCTTTGACGTTAATGTTGAAGGTATTGATTTTATTTATAGTTATGCTAGCTTCGTGAGAGTAGATGAAGCCAGTCATGAAAAGAAACGCACAGAAACTTTGCTGCTTTTGGTTTATTAATTTCTGTTATTGTTCTTCGTGTTGTTGGTCACTCTTTTTGTTTTGTTTTGCTCGTTTTGTTTCTCTTATTTTCTTATGTTTTGTTTTGGTTTCATTACTATTTTTTATCTTAACCTACTGCTATATTAGAGAAAAGCTACACACTCACTCAGACGCTTCCATTTTTTTCCCTCTGTATGTAGGTCCGCCGGTGAGGACGACTGCAGCACCAGGTAGGTTCTTCCGCTCTTTAACCTTTCCAGATGACCTAAAAGGACTGAACAGGGTTCTGAGAACTGCCTTGGCATATAATAACTTCTTTAAGATATGAACAGTAGGCAAAGTATGGAAGTTATTTACTTTGCCACTCTGTTTCTACTTATAGATATCCAAACTCCATCATCTTCACCAAAATCAGGTAAGTACAATGTGTCCTATTTCAATTTTTCCAATGTCAGTGTTGGAGCAAATTGGAGTGTGTCCAAAATTACATCGGATTGCATTGATTTTTATCGATCCTTTTTTTACCTAAGGACTACCCTGCCATAAAATATAACTTTTAGGCCTCTATAAGATATGAACAGCGAGGTAAAGTATACCAGAGATTCACTTTGCCACTTCGTTTCTACTCTTAGATTTCCAAACCCCATCATCCTCACCAACATCATGTAAGTACAATGTGTTCTATTTCAATTTTTTCAATGTCAGTTTTGGAGCAAATTTTAACTGAGTGTGTCCAAAATTACATAGGATTGAATTGATTTTTATCAATCCTATTTTTCACGACCAAAGTCTTTATTACTGGTATTTGTTTATCACTGAAGTATGTCTCACAGCCGCACTCGTAGAATTTAATATGAACTGATTCCCTCTGCTTCTCTCCTCACTTCCCTCCACTTCAATACATGCACATTCTCATCCATATTCCTACTCACAACCCCTCCCTCTAATCGAAAAACAAGATACAGTCCAACCTATTTTAAGTGGTCACTCACGCGGAATGGCACCATGACCGTTTCATACAGGTTGACCGCTATGTAGGTTCCACAGAATAGGGGTATTATGAAAAACCATTAAAAAAGTGCCATTTTATGTCACAATCGACCACTTTATGCACAGAAACTACCTTATAAATACAATTGGTTTTATTTGGGTGGTTCCATTTTAAGTGACCGTTCAATACAGGTTGAAGACAATACAACATAGGTTATATAAAATATAACTTGCAAGGTCTTTTTCCTGTAGAGCTCACTCGGCGGCAGGAAGAGAATCACCATGTTCTTTGAGTCCTAATTAGGAGAATGAAGCCTAGTTTAAAGAGAAACTGATTCTGAAAAATATTTGACGTTAAATAAATGAAGAAACGAAGATATACCAGATTGAAAGTGACTGTGAATGCTAAGACTTTAATTCTTCATCAGTTATTAACTTAATTCCAATTAACTTAACTCCAATCTATGCTTTGAATGAAAATTTCAGTTTTCCTCTCCAAATTTATTATTCAATCATGTATTTATTTGTTTGTTTGTTTTCTAGGGGGTTCAAGTCTCGCCGGATGGATAATTACAATAGTGATCAATCCACTTTTGGTAGTCATAATAATAATATTAATAATAATCATTTGCATTCTCAAGAAAAAAAGGAGTTCGCCAAACCGGCATTTAAATAGGCTGTTCTGGAGATGCCTTTCTAATAGTTAGTATAGCTGTAAATTGTAACAAACTATTTTACTGCTATTTCCGAATATTTTACGAAAAGTGTGAAAAGTCATTTTTTCACCTGTCAAAAGATAATAGAATTGTAAATTGAAACGGACAATTTTACTTCTATTTTCCAAATATTTTGAGAAAAGTGTGAAATGCATTTTTTCTCGTCTATATTTAGTAATCTGTTCATTAGCTCTCGTTAAGAGATTATGAACTATCTGTATTCTCTGCCCTTGTCTTACATTATCCATTTTTACTAAGGAAAATACAAATAATGCGCGAATCAGGTGCAAATGTGAATGGATAATTGGGCTTAGTGGACTGCAATTTCTGTTGAACTGAGTGGAGTGCAGTTTGGTCTGAAATCATCCGCGTGATTTCATAAACTCGCAGCGCGAGTTTGATTGAAATCACAAGTATGATTTCATATCAAAATTGCAAGACACCAAGTTTAATCAGCACTTTATTACATCTATTTTGAAATAGCAAAATTTAGTAACGCAATACAAGGTATTTTCATTCTGTTCAAATATTTTATTGATCCAGTATATTGAGCCGGTTTATAAAAAGTTGCAAAAGTTGTCTCTCATTTTCTTGCAATTTGATTGATTTATTTGAAAAAGCCTTGAAATTTGATTGGTCTTCATGTTTTAGTAAAGCTAGGAAAAAGATGCCATTAAGAGCATAAAATGATGCAATTTACGAAAAAAACTGCACTGCAGAGAACCAAACAGATTGCAAGGATCACAAGTGATTTGAAAATGGATGGAAAAAAGGCTGTAATTAGGCGAGGAGTAACAATTATCATAATATTGTTACCTTGATATACCACTTAACTTCTTTTCCATGCTTTTCTCGGCACATGGATCGCTTTCCTATTGTCAAGAAAGATAAAGATTTCAAGAACAAGACGGCGCGTGCTCTGTTGATATTCATTTGTTTCTCGTAAAACAGATACGGCCGATTACGTCGAGACTGATGTGGGTGAATGTTATTATTTTACTAGAAGATCGCCACTTTACGAACTTAAGGAGCATCAAGAATGAAGATTATCGGGTTTTACATTCCATTCTTTATATGTTTCGTGCCAGCTCTGGTAACAGGTTAGTTTAGTCATATAAAAAAATTCAATCAAGCCTCGAACGCTTTTTAAGGGTATTACGTGAATCACATCATGTGAAATTGCTGGTTTAGCTAAAGGCGAAGGCGATGGCGACGCTTATAGTTTAGATTTAGATTTCTTGATATACCACTTAACTTCTTTTCTATGCTTTTCTCGGCACATGGATCGCTTTACTATTGTCAAGTAAGCTAAGATTTCAAGAACAAGACGGCGCGTGCTCTGTTGGTATTCATTTGTTTCTCGGAAAACAGATACGGCCGATTACGTCGAGACTGATATGGGTGGAATGTCATTATTTTAAGAAAAGATCGTAACTTCACGAAGTTAAGGAGCATCAAGAATGAAGATTATCGGGTTTTTACATTCCATTCTTTATATGTTTCGTGCCAGCTCTAGTAACAGGTTAGTTTAGTCATATAAAAACCTCAATCAAGCCCCGTAATACCCTTAAAAAGCGTTGAACGCTTTTTAGGGGTATTACGGGGAATCACTTCATGTGAAATTGCTGGTTTAGCGAAAGGCGAAAGCGACGGCGACACTTATAGTTTAGATTTAGCTTCGGTGAGACGTGAATGGACAAAGTAAAAGTAGAAACCAAAAACTATCTATATCAGATTTTGCTATAGGCCTGAAGTTCTCTGAGCGTCACTTTGTAATCATTTTCAGCCACAAATATGACATGGCATATTACTTTCGCTCGGAATAATGTTGGGTTAACTTGAGAAATTCTTTGCAGTGGCCAATTTCTATTTTTATTACACCCATTTTGAAATCACTGCTGGTCCCTGTAATCTGATTGGCTCTAATTGGTGCGATTTATTCACGAATCGAACCATTTTTAACTCGTGAATTGCGCGTATGCGCAAGAGCGAGTTATAGATATGATGTGGAGAATGGCACTCGCTCGCTCCCTCGATTGGTCGATTCCTGTAAACTTTTTTCGATTTTAGGCTTTTGAGTGCATTTGATAGTTTTTGGCGAGTAATAAAGAAACGAAATGGCGATCTTTGTTGCTAAGAATTGCGGTGGGGTGAAAAAGAAGCCAATGATAATCTTAAAAGAGTTTATTTTTTTTTAGTTTTAGTTTCAACAAGCGGCGCCAGCGACTAGCAAGCGTGCGAGGATTCACATTGAAATAAGAGAACAACCTTCGTTTTTCATAAAATTGTAATTTACAATCCTTGAACTTGAAAACAATCCGAAGATTCACTAAACTCCGAAGCGCATGGAGTTTACAGGTGTTCAAAAGCTTTTTCTGTTATGGAATGAGGTTGAGGACAAAATCGATCATTACATTTCGTATCGTGTATTTTTTCTGTGTGAAGCAACAAAAGGTGCCGGCAACTGACGAAATTAAAGGTTAATACGAAAATCAAATAACACCTAAACAATCAATTTTGGCTACCGATTTTCAGTGAATTTTTAAAGAACAATTTTCTTTTAAGTTTCAAGATAATTTGAAGATTCAAAATAAATATTACGTACTAAAATGCGAAAGTCATACACCAGAAAATTGATAAATAGGCCTGAAATGAAACTCTATCTTGTTCTTGATTATACGTTGCCTAGCACGTGACCAAAATCTACCCAGGCGGAAATCCAAAATGACGATGGCAGTCTGGGCTTAGTTATATTACTCAAAGCTCGTTCCCGTTTGTCTTATCTAATAAAGAGGGAATCATTAATGTTTTCATTAAGATAGCATTGCCTTAATTTTCCAATATTTACAATGATAGACAGGAAATTTCACTTTTCACCCACATTTACTTCCAACCTTTTCTTTTGAACCAGAAACAAAAATGATGTTTTGAAAGACATGACATCATCCACCCTTTTCAAATGTAATAGCATGATCATTTCAATTGTAACGCCTTCTTATCCCAAGATTACTTTGTTTCTTTGCTACATTAGCGAACACTGAACTACTGCTCGTACTCCAAATATGACACTCAACCACAAAATTCCCTAAACCAGAATACACTAAACATAATCAAAATAATCATGTAAGTCATCTGTGAATTCAAGAGTTTGCTCACAGAGCACTTTGATTTTGCTTTAAATCGCATCTTTTTCCCAGCCGATGAGGAGGCTACACCAAAAACAAAACAACCAATCAGATTTCAAGGCTTGTTTAAAGTAACCAATCAAGTTGCAGGAAAATGAAAGACAAAGTGTGTCATGTGGCAAATTTTGCAACTTTTGTTTCCAAAACTCGTATTTCTTTTCCCCCAAAAATGGATGATTCCCGATCTTCAAAACTCCAACACCAATCTGACAGAATTTGCATTAAAAAGCGAACAAGGAGTCGTAGTGTCCTCAATGACGATAGCCTGTAGAGCAGGCGTAATTTTGGCAAGCAAGCGAATGCTTAGTATTTTCTTAGCGAAAATTATGGCCGCTATTTTTTACTTTAATGACAACGGAAGGCTGAGGAGAGGAAGAAATCTGTATCAAGGGGGTGAGCGACGGTCAAGAATAAGGAGAGGGGCAAGGTTGGGGGAGTTAACTCGCCTTAGTGAGACGCCTACGCTGCAGGCTACAATGAAGACGACAAAAATGTTGTGAGTTACTAAATCACGAGCGACGACCCAGGGAAGAAAAAGAGACCGAAATACTAGTGGTCAGCGATGAAATAGCTTAAATAACGCGTGTAAAAACAAATCAATTGAAGTTCCAGTAAATATTCGAGTTATAAATCCCAAAATGAAAATATTCACTCGCCCATGAGTGACCAGGACAGAATTTCTCCTTACAATATCAGTATAATTAGTTTTTAGAACTTTAGTGAGTTCGCAGTGACAACAGATGAAAATGTCCCAGGATTGATTAGGGGTTCAATTAAGGCATGCACACTGGATCCACTTCCAGCGAGTATCATGCGGAAATTCTATTCTAGTCTTGTTCCTGTATTTAGAAGAGTGATTAATTTGTCATTATCATCTGGAGTGCTGCCCAAGGAACTTAAGATCGCGCTGCTATTACCTCTTCTCAAGAAGGTAAATGCAGATTTTTAGCAGTTTAGTAACTTTCGCCCTGTGTCAAATTTGAAGTTTCTATCTAAATTGATAGAAAAAGCAGTGTTTGAGCAATTGAATAACTATCTTGGCAAACATGATCTACACGAGCCTCTCCGATCAGCGCACAAGATCTTTCACAGCACAGAGACTGCGCTTCTTACTGTCACAAATGACATTATGCTATCATTGGACAAAGGCGAGAATGTTTTCCTTGTTTTATTAGATTTGTCGGTAGCATTCGATACTGTTAACCATACCTTGTTGCCGGCACGAATGAAGAAATTATTTGGCATCAGAGGAACTATTCTACAGTTGTTCAATTCTTATCTTTCTGGTAGAACTCAGTTTGTTAACACTGCGATGAGGTGAAATCTACAATACGTGATCTTCCCGTGGAAGCTCCCCGAGGTTCAGTTCTAGGACCTGTACTCTACCTTCTGTATACTGCGCCACTTGCTAAAGTGATAAGATCTTATGACTTGGATTATCATCCATACGCTGATGATACTCAGTTTTACTTTGCATTCAAATCGGTGGATGTGGACGCTACTAAATCGAGGGTCGAGAGCTGCATTTCTGCTATTTGTCGCTGGATAGTTCTCAACGAATTAAAGCTAAACCACGACAAAACGGAAGTCATGCTCATCCACTCACAGTATCGTCCCTCTCCATCCTTTCAGTCCTTACGTGTTGGTGATTAGAGCATGACTGCCTCTCAGTCGGGTAGGAGTCTTGGCGTCATCTTTGATGAGCACATATCTTTTCATGCACATGTCTAACATCGATCTGTAGATCATGATTTTATCATCTCAGGAACCTATCTGGAATTAGGAAGTATCTCACCAAAGAATCAGCAGCTGTTGCTGTTCACGCATTTGTCACTTCGACAAAGATTGCAATATGTACAAAACACGGCGGCTAGAGTTGTGTGTCAAATGAGCAGGAGCATCACTGGCTACCGATCCAATACCGTATTATTTTAAAGATTTTGCTTCTAGTGTATAAATCACTGAATGGGGCATCGCCTAGCTGTTTAGTTCAGAAACTATATTATCGTTCTCCTACTAGATCATCTAGGTCTGTTAGTAATGAACCTTTAATGCAACCTAGTTCGTATACTAAGACCTACGGAGACAGAGCATTCGCTGATCATGCGCCAAGAGAATAGAACTTAATACCCTATGACATTCGGAAGTCTAACACTATCTCAAGAGCACTTAAGACGTTCCTGTTTAGTAAATATATTAATGACAGACCATTATTTTTATAGATTTATGTATATTGCTTTAGATTTA